AAGATCTTGAACTAGATTAATTTAATTAAAAACAACCCGCTAGTATGCAGTTGATGGAGGTTAGCACTAATAAGCCCCATGATAATTAAAAAGGCTTGAAGTCAAGGATCATAGTTTATCTGCCATGGCAGAACACCTGCCTGACTGCTCTAGGTGAAGCTTGGCCAAATCTGTACACCCAGTTCAGTTTCTTACCACGTACTATAGAGAGCTTAACAAATTAATTACAAGGTAATAAAAAATTAACTCGATGAAAGAGATGATGCCTTAGATGGGATCAAGACCTCTTAGATCCAACATCAGTTTAGTGTAGCAGACAGGAAGGGATCTGCAGAAAAACAGGAAAGAAATTGGGAAGAATTTCTTGCAGTGTCTGGACTTTACAAGTGACCAGCCCAACTCTGCTACCTCTCACCACATGGAAATGACCTAGTACCTTTCCATATGCTTTTGCCTTACTCCCTAAGCGTGGCAGCAGCAGCATTCTGAGGGATGGGGTGGGATGAGGGAAGATGAGGGAAGCAGTGTCTTTGAGGTTGACACGTCCATAAAGGGCAACTCAAGCCTTGAACATTACAAGCAGAAGTTCAATGATTTCCATGGGATATGGGGTACCACCCAGGATGAAAATGAGGGATTCTGTGTTCTGACAAGCCAACAGCTTACTGCCAACCTGAAGACTGATGATTATTAAGAAGAAAACCTACAACTGTTGAAATTATTCATATCCAAGCTGCACTTGTTCCAAGATCATAAAAAAACCTTTCACTTGCTGCAAAATGTTCATTTATCTGAGATACATGATGTGGCAATAGCTCAAGAGTGAGTTTGGACTCCTGCTCCTGTACCTCAGCCCAGGCAGGGTGGGCTCTGCATGACTCAGATCCTGCCTGGGGGGAGCTGAAGATGAGCCACAGCAGATGAGGATGTGACAAAGCAGGTCTCTGTCAGACTTTCTTCACCAAAAAGCATTCTCACTTGGAGAAAACATTGTAAGTAGCTGCACAACATGGATCCAGAACCAGTTAGTTCTGGATATTCACAAGTCTAAACATCACTCATATTTTGAGCATATCACCATAACAATACTACTAAATACATCAAGGCCATCACAGTGTATTATCTTCTGTCTGACTGTAGTTTTGAATACAATTCACTTATCCAGAATTAACTTGAAATCCATGCCTTTAGGTTAATTTGACCAGTTCTGATCCATCTGCAGTCCCTGAAAGTTGTTCAAAATTATACACCATATATCTTGAAGCTCTTAAATTGTCCAATCTAAGAGAAAGCTTTTACAGTCCACTTTTATAAATTGTAACATTCCAAACAAGTTTTAATCATTCTTCCTTTGTATGAGCTCTCCTTACTTGTAGCTATTTAAAAAATAGAGTCCCAGATTGCCTGCACTTGTGATACCATTCTGGGAAGAAAAGACAAAAGATTACAAAATTGCTCAAAAAACTCTGGAAAATACCTCTCCAAGAGTTGGTCATGAGTGCAAACATGGAGAGAACAGGAATAAAGTCAAGGCAAAACAGACAATCCAGGTCACGGGGAAATAACTTTTCTCCTTACATTACTACGTAAACATGTAATGAATCTGCCACCTGGAGATCACAGTGAAAAGCCCAAAAGAGGTAAAGGATAGTCAATGATTCCCAGAATCTGTGTCAAAGAAAGATTGCAACAATTGTTTCCATCCCAAGTGAACAGATTCTGGAGCTGTCCTTACTTCAGTCCATTAAAAAACTTGTATTAAAAGTACATTTTAGACTACTAAAATGCCTCAATAAACCTATGCAAGAGTGGATTTTTTCCATGTTTGCTCTTACTTAATCAAGTGAAAAAATTCATTTCACTGAGGTTTACTCTGTATGATTCCATCAGTGCACAGCAGTAGCAAGTAACTTGAGCATTTGTGTTTCACAGATCTTAATCTTTACAATGTAGTTTTTAAATCTGCCATTTTCCTATGCTGAGGGTCCTAACAACAGAGCGCATTCATTCACTCCTTTCCCAACCAAGCAAAACACTCACTGGGATTTCCTTTTCAAGCCTGTTAATTGAAAACATTCTGCAGCTTATTAGTCACTATACAGATTATCTGCTGACATGCAAACTCTCACTCATTCCAGACTTGTTAATTAACACGTAATTACTGGTCCCACAGAGACTGGACTGCAGGTGTGATGCTCTAGGTCCTGCTCTAATAACCGTTCCTCTCGGATGCCAGCATGGATGCAATACACAGCAACTGCAGTTTCCCAGAACACCATCCCACCCTTCCCAAAAGGGCTCGAGGCTCTGTTTTGGTTTTAGAATATTTTTAAGTTATTTTTTATTTGTCTGGGTTCATTATGTCCAACATCCACCCACAACCTGCCACAGAAAAGCAACAAGAATCCATGTTCTCCCATCAGCAAGCTCAGCAGGAGCTGGCCCAGGGCAGCTGTTCTGCATGGTGAATTTGAATAGGAAGACCTAGAGGAAAAGAATGGCAAAGAATGAAGGAGAGAATAACAAGGAGAGAGACAGATATGTTCAGTCATTTCTGTGACTACCTAACTGATGATCTCACCTACGGGTTTATTCAATGCAGGCAATACTCAGTCAAGTCTTTTATACGGCATAAATCTTACCATTGAAATACTATCTTCCATTCAATTACTCTCATACTAAGCCTCATGGTACCATAACTATTCCCTCTGTGTATTCTTTGTATAATGGGATATTCAGGAATTCTTTACACTGAATTTCCTTTAAGACTTGAGATGTTTTAAGTCTTTGCTCAAGTAAGGCAGAAATGTTATCAAATGGTAAAAGCAGAAAGTTAGGTGAGATAAAATCACAAGTTCATAATTCCTTATTAGCAAGGTTATAGTGGTCATGGGATACAGTCAAGGAACATGTGTAAAAAGATGCTTATTAAGTGCATTTGCCAGGGATAAATGTATCTAAATCTAAACCAATTAGTGAACTAGATTGCTAAAAGCATGTAAAATAGGCACATAATTCTATTCTCACTGAAGCCAGAGGTAAAACTACCTTTGATGGGAGCAGACTATACTAGACAGTTTTGAAAACTCCATCCTACATATATAGGGATTAACAACAAACAATTTCCATATCACCAAGACACATTCTCTGATATAAAAATGACCAAAAACTCATGGAAGTTACCACTTCAGATAGAATCCCAAAATCTGTTGCACTATGGTTCATTATGAACCACTGAAGTGAACATGAAAAATGAGCTTTCTATTCTCTTTCACTACCATATGAGAGAAAGCAAAGGATTAAACTGTTCCAGGTAGCAGCCATATTCAGTTTGAAAGCTTCAGTTTTATCTGCTGGTTTTCAACAACTAGATCTTTGCAACAAGGAGACTGTGCCACTATCAGGACCTTCCAGACTTTGACTCAATTTTCTATGCATTTGCTGTCAATTCACTGGCAACTACACTGGTAGTTTATGAACCTTTTCAGAAGGAAATGGATAAAAAAGATGGTGCCAGTACAAATTGGGTAAGAGAGTCACTAAATCTGGAGAGGAACTTCTGGAATTAATATATTTATGGTATAGAGGCACTATCTGGGAAGTGCTACATCAGAGCAGAGCACATCTCTGCCTGGAACAAAAGTGCAGAACCTGCCAACAGGAGAGGAGAAACTATTACGCAACAGACGATTCTGAAATTGTCAGATCTGGGTCAAAGCATTAAAGCAGAACAGAAGTAGTTATTTTTATTAAATGTGGCACATTAACAATAAAGACCAACAATACCTCAGCAGGCCTGGAACTGGTAGAGAAAATTGCAACAATGTCAGTCTTTCTGTATCAGAGCAGAATATGGTTCCATCTGATCTTGCACATGGACATCCTAGGACTTACCTTTTCGAGTCATTGGCTTCGAAAGACTCAGCATGCAAGGACTAAGCAGTAATATAGGTCACTATCCACAGTCACTACCTGACCCTGACCTTGCTAAGTGCTCTCTCTCCACTAAGGATTTCAGAAGAGGATGTTGACAAACCTCCCATCAGTACAGGTTTAGAGCAGTCTCCATGCCATGTACTTCACATAACTGAATTTGCTGACACCAATGGATACGTGATACACTGTAGGAAAGTTTACTCATTGAAATTTTATAATTCCTATTTTGGCTACAAGGAAGACTTTTTATGCAACTCGGGAAGTAAAGTGAACCAAAAACTGAAACTCTGAAGAAGGGAAATGTAAGATAGCTGTTCACAAAGTGATGATAGGTGGGAAAAAAAACAGATTTATGTAATCAGTGACTAAGGTGATGTATTCAGCTTGACAGCAGACACTTTCTGTGAAAGTCAGATAAAATACTGCCATACAGAATAGAAGCTGAAGCAAAATCCAGCTCAAGAGTTAACATAATTCTAGGAGAATGAAGCAATTCTGCTTCTGACCCTGTCTGTGATACATCAGTCTTTATCATCTTTAAGTGGCCTGACCTCTTCTTCCTAGCAGAATAATGAAGGACAGCTACAAAAGCTACGCAGTTTCAGATCTCAGCTTCTAGGAAAGAGACATTTGTCACCCTTTCTGAATAAGAAAACATGAAAAAGAATTACGAGAAAAAGTCAGACTCGACCACATGGATAAAGGGGTTCAAAGGCTTTTCATACCTGGATAACATTGTAACAGCAGCACTGTATAGTGCCAATGAGCAGCTTCCCTTGGAAGGGCAGGAAAATAGATGACACCAAAAAGACAATGCAAACGCATTTCTGTGTTCTAAAACAGAGCCAGAGAATACCTGAGCTGGACATGAAATACCTAAGGAGGCTTCTCAAGTTAAAATCAATTTATAAGTGAAAAGAGGAAAAATCTGAGTAAAGGGTTGATTAGAAACTCTTAGTTCCTTAATCTTCTACCATCTCTTCCTTATTTGTTAGCTTCAGAAAAAGAAACGTGTTCTATTGCTTATGTGGATTGTTGGGGTTTTTTTTCCCTGAAATGATATTCATCTCTGGAAAGATTACAATGAAGCTTGCTCAGTCTGGTATTTCTGCTCAGTAATTATTGGACATAAGTGCAACCTGGAAAGAAAAAATAAACAAAACCTTCTCTTTACCCAGCCTATGTTGTTACCTAAACTGTTGTGCATCAAAGAAGTTACATTCATTATCAGTCTTAGTATTTACAGATGACTATGGCATTACAGGAATCTTTCAATATTAAATACACAGTTCTGACTCACTCCAAGACACTTCCCAACTGCGTGTGTTCACTCAATGCATTCCATGGCAGAGCTATCCCTTTGAACTAGCACAGTACACCAGTACATAGACATGATTATAAGTCTACGAACATGGTGACAGCAATGAACTGAAACGCACATCAAATGTTATCTCATTTGTCTCCTCATTTCTGAGTTTGACTATTTAAATGCATTAATCAAAAATATTCTATTACATGACTGGAAAGATCCTATCTTGGTTCATTTCCTAAAAAAAACCCACATAATTCCAGACAACTACTTTGTCTTGAATTTATGTACCTTAATTTTAAACACACAGTACTTATATTTGGAAAGAAGTTTAATCTAAGAAACAGAAAACCAGAGCATTGCCCTAAATTGCTAAAATCTCAAAAGACTGCTCCAGATTTCTACTTACTTGTTTCCCCATACACTCAGATAGAAAGGACACCAGAGATTCAGATGGAGAGAGATGACAGAGTGACAGAGTGAAGCCTGCCTTCCTCAGGGTAACAACAGACCAGGTACAGCATCACCAACCATGAGCCCCTGAAGTCACCTAAAGAGTCTTCAGCGGGAGAGAGCTTGTTTTGGCTCCCAAAGCTGATATGGCACCATCAGGTTCCATGGTTTTGTAAGGGAAGATAAATGCACATGCAGGAAGACTTATACAAAGGTCTTAACACCTACTTCACACCATCCAGCCAACTGGGAAAATAACAACTCTTTACAACAGCTTGAGCTGTGCTAACTAAAAAGACTGGATTAAAGTCAATGGGAGGATGTCTGCAGTCCTGACGTCCCGATTTCTTTTCCTTTCACAACTTCAGCACTATTGTAAAACAAACGTACTTTAGACTACTTTTTGATACTGCTGGGAACCAGAAGGTGACTTGGTAGCACTGTGTCACCTTGCAGAGAGGACCTCAAGTCAAAATATTGGGGTTTACCATTTATCATCTTTTTTAATAATTCAGAGGAGATGTTACATCTGTAAATAACAGAAAAGCTACCAGTTACACAGAGTCTGCATTTTCACCTGCTGACCTGTACTGTACAGACTTCTGTCCCTGAACAATTCTTCCTAACCTGAGTCACTGGTTTGTTTTCTACAGCTACACAGAGGTGAGCACTCTCTATGAATACCTCTCCAGGAGCCCTTCCATTGCAATATGAGGTAGTCTTCAAAAAAAGTTATTTTTAAATATGCAGTAATAGCTCAGAATCAACTACAAACTGAGGTAATATCTTTAAGATAGATGGAAGGTATCTTATTAATGTAATAGACTTTGGACCATATCCTGAGGGTGTTAAAACTAGGCTCACACATCTTATTAAGATCCTAAACACGTGGCTTGTTTTCAAAAAGTGCTCAACCTGTAGCAGCTTCCAATGATTTGAAAGTTTAACATATTTGAAAACCACCAAGGTCTATAATTTCAGCTTCTAAACACAGGTTTAATGGAATTTGCAAAGAAAATTCAAATAAATACCTTTGGATAGATTTTATGGGCTTTGGAGAATACCACAGGATGAATTCTACTACAGTTTCTTTATTTACAAGCTGGTGGCTGCAATCCACTTTTTTTAATGCACAAGGCAAAACACAGAAACACGTACCCCTACACACTATTCATTATCATCTCAAATTCATGTTACCACAATTCTGTTATCCTTATGTGCACTCTTAGCCCACAGCCAGGTAATCCTATGTAGCTCAAACCTCTTACAGAGATTTAAGGTAGATTATGCTTCTGGGCTTTCACTGCTGTGCCTCAGACGATGCATGGTAATTTATTAAGCTGTAATAAACAGATTACAAGTCTGAGCCCTAAAGTTTCTCCTGAAGATATGGACACTTCACCGAGAGTCATGGAGTTACAATCACTTAAGAAGTTACCACTTACCAACCCTACTGCGTGTGTACTTGAATTAAGCATCACTACATGCAGTTTAAATCAATTTGCTTTACCTTCCAATTAGAGTCATTCCATTCTCCACTGTGTCCATATCACAAACAATGTAATTTCTGCATTATTGGGCCCCATGCAGTTGCCCTTAAAATATAAATCTGACTCAGGTAGGTTTAATTTCCATAAGTAAACATTCAAATGCAAGTTGAACTGATATAACTGTTTTTAAAACAACATACAGTTGTGCGTGGAAGAATATACATTCATTTAATTACATCAGTTTCTATTTGCCAGTTCTTAAATACAAGTAAATGTCAAACTAAATTTAGGAGTACTTAAACTGTTAGATAAACATAGCAGAGCTCTAAAATACCCAATTAGTTTCACATAGCTTCTTGGATCTTTAAGGATTAACAACCACAACAATTATCAAAGAGTCAAACAGCAACTATACACATTATTTGTTAAATCATTTTATATGCATCTTTCTAGGGGAACCTTCATTCTACTAACATAAGAGATAAATCCTGGCTAATCAAGCCAGGAAATGGTGAATTATATTTAAAAATCCTGCAGGAACTGAATATTACTAATTCAATTTAAGGTTTGGATGTAGCATGCTGTTCCACAATTTATAGAATCATAGCATCATTTACATTGGAAGAGACCTTTAAGATCATCAAGTCCATTCATTAATCAAGCACTGCCAAGACCACCACTAAACCATGTCACCAGGGGCCTCATATACATGTTTTTTTGATACTCTAGGGATGGTGACTCTACCACTGCCTTGGGCAGCCTGTTCTTATGCTTGACCACCATTTTGGTGAAGAAATTTTTCCTAATGTCCAAGCTAAATCTACCCTGGTGCAGCTTGAGGCTGTTTCCTCTTGTTCTGTCTCTTGTTACTTGGGAGACCAGCCCCTACCTCGCTACAACCTCTTTTCAGGTGCCAGAGTCAATTGTCCATAAATCTACATTTGTTGTCCTTTCAGAAGAAAAAGTCTAAACCCAGATAAAGCGTAGCCAAATCCATGACTTTCACAAGAAAAAATGAACACTTGCTCTTTTCTAGAAGAGCTTTTATCAGCTGCAGAACTGGAAACATGAAGAGAATTTGGAGCCAAGAACTCGCTAACATCTCTATGTAAACTATCAAAGCACCATGCCAGTGGTACCCAGGAGCTCTTCGTAACTGGATGCTGCAGTCAGCAACGGTAAGAAAAGGTCTATAATGGAGCACCTGGAAAAGGAAATGCTATTTAGCACCTGTGTAAACAGCAACTGATGCTTTAGCAACACAAACGTCCAGAGTCAAAGCTGAATTCAGCTAGTAGCATCCAAATGCTGTAAAAGGTATATATCAGATTGCATTAGGCATATTACAAACAATTATGAAACAAAAAACATTGTCATTCTAAAACCTTACCCAGATTTAAATGAAGAATGACAGAAGTCTGTACACAATCAAACTAACATGTGCCTAATTCTTTTTCAGAATCAAGGCATAAAGTTACAGATTTGGAAAATATTCGAATTTTATATATCTAAACAGGGTGTTAAGCTGTCATCTGTTGTACCTAAACTTGTGCCTCTGTAAGACCAGGACTAAAATGATGAACTGCCACTGAGTTTTTTAAATGTTATCCAATCAGTATAGATTGTAATAGAGCAGCACATATTTCATTATACTCATCTACATCCTGGTTACTGGATACCAAGCAAAGACTGTCTGCTTTATCAGGAAAACTAGGGGAATAGCTCCTGGATTTTGGCAGAAGATCAGTCTGGACTTCCTGGAGTATAAAAGTGTTTGAAAAGCATCTGCAAGAATCCTCCAGAGTGCAAATTAAAAAGCTTGACTTTCTCAACTCTCAAGAATCCAATACAAAATAACATGCTGGTAACAGAGGAACCAAAACATGCATATAATCTAAATAATTGCTTTCACTTTCCTCAAGCTGTGTGGACACCTCATACACACCAGAGTTTGGGTCTATGTTTCATTATTCTGTGAAATCAGAACTCAAAAGGTTAGCCAAATATTAGAGGAATTCTAGAATCCAGGTGGAATCATGCCTGAATCCAGAAGATACAACAATGGTGAGGGTATGACACAGAGCATGTAAAAGAGAAACAGTTCTCTTTGTATCTGCACAGTCTGTACCTGTCACTCCAGTGTACAGAGACCTATGAATAATGTTGGTTTTAAGAATTATTCAGAAGCCTTGTTTTAGCACCGTCAGAGTTTGCAAAGTAGATGTCCCAAGTGACTGAACTCCTAAATACAGTTATATGGCATTCAAAAAACGGAATCTGTGAGAGAAGCATAGGACTGCAGTAACATCAGCAGCAGGGAGCTGTTATCCCCTCCATCTGCTGCAGAACACATCAGGCAGGCAAGGCACAGGAAAATGAGTATTGATGAATCTATGTAACACTGCCTTGAAGTGATGACAAGTTAACACACAGGTCCAATCAAAGCTTTCAGCATGCAAAAACAAAATCAAAGCAGGGGCCCTCGTGGTACTAAATATAGCTTCAACTCTAAACTTTCTGAGAAATGTTACTGTACAAGAAAATTGATTTATCCTAATTCAGAGTCTGGAGCTACATCTGATCTTTGGACAACTGCCTATCAAGCCACTTTAACCAGTGGCTTGATTCACATCTTTCACTTCTCCTTAAAATGGCTATTACAATAAGGGTTATCAATTTGAACCTGGCAGTACAACCCGAGAGTCTGGTGCTATTAAAAGAATACATTAAATAGGATTATGTACTAGATCATGATATACACTCTGAAAGCATGTGCTGAGAAATTATGGCATTACAGATGTAAAACACTGTAGCAATTTACACTCGGAAAGCACTACATTAAGCTGCAACTTCTGTTGAAGAAAAAAATCAGGAGCAGGTTGAGCAGCTCAGCAGGCCTGTAGCAGAACCCCCCATTTGCCCCAGCTCTGCCTGCACCAGTGTGGTTGGTTGCTGCTTCCAGCTGAGCACATTCCCTTGCTTTATTCCCTAACCCACACCTCCTAAACCGCCCACCTGCCAGCTTGGGGAAGGATTTGGTTTTTCCTTTCTTCTGCTCTATACCAATAGGCACTCAACTCATGCTACAGCTGTAGTTGAAAAGTCTCAAGGCGTTATACACATATTATCAGATTGATTATTACACCTGTAGGAGGAAGGAGGAGAAGGAAGAGAATAGAAATCAATGACTTACTGTAGCAAGAAAGAACCAATTATTCAGCAAACCTGCCTTTACTAATTCTGTCACACAACCTCATCTATAAAAGTTCCACCATTATTTGAATTAACTGTTGCTGTCACAGCAATAATACTCACAATCAGCCACTCACATTCTGCAACTACCTATCATATATTAGAACTAATCCAGTGATACTGCCTGAGTCTAATGAACTGGTTTGTAGTTTAATTATAGTGCTTACCAGATAATTTATTGGACAGTAATAAAGCTTAGATTTACTTCTCACACAATACCACACAATACTGCTGCACTATTAGAAGAGGTATACATGAAGCTGCATTTTACTCTCAATTACACAAGTATAAATCTTAAGCAACTCTATTGAAGTCAACAGTTATTTCAAATTGACATGCATCTACTTTGCATCTGAAAATCTGTAATAAAGAGCAGAGTTCTGTTCCATGTATGTGCATTACTTATAGCACTCCA